CCCCAGACATTTTTGTTGCCCTCCGCTCGACTCTCTCCAATTTGTCACCATCCTTTCTGTAGTGGGGGGACCAAAACTGGACAAAATACTCCAGATGTGGTCCCCCCCAGCGCTGAATAGAGGGGAATAATCACTTCCCTCGATCTGCTGGCAATGCTCCTACTAATGCAGCCCAATATGTCATTAGCCTTCTTGGCAACAAGGGCAGACTGCTGACTCATATCCAGCTTCTTGTCCACTGTAATCTCCAGGTCCTTTTCTGCAGAACTGGTGCTTAACCAGTCAGTCCCCAGCCTGTAGCAGTGCATGGGATTCTTCCGTCCTAAGTGCAGGACTCTGCACTTGTCCTTGTTGAATCTCATCAGATTTCTTTTGGCCCAATCCTCCAATTTGTCTAGGTCACTCTGGACCCTATCCCTACCCTCCAGCATATCTACCTCTCTACCCAGCTTAGTGTCATCCGCGAACTTGCTGAGGGTGCAATCCCTCCCATCATCCAGATCATTAATAAGATGTTGAACAAAACCGGCCTCAGGACCGACCCCTGGGGTACTCCACTGCCAACTAGACGTCGAGCCATTGATCACTACCTGCTGAGCCTGACAATCTAGCCAGCTTTCTATCCACCTTATAGTTCCTAGGTCAAGGCCCTGGCCTGGGCTTGGGTTAGCCCTGAGGAGCTATTCCTCTGTCCCAGTCTCACCCAGCTCTGCCCCTGACCAAAAGCAGGCATTCCTTCTTTAACTGGCCTTCTGGTTCTTCACTGGTGAATATTTCTCTTGGCCCTTCTAGGCCTCTGGAAGACTGTTGTGTTGGTCACCTGGTCTGAGTGGATTTTCCTTGGGCAACAAGTGTCAAGGTGCTGATGCTTCCAGCAGGATTCAGAGACGGTCTGAGAGACCCCCATCCCAATCAGATGCTGAAGTCTTTTAGCAATCTGGCAGCAGGTTCTCAATTGGAGCAATGTGTCATAGGCCCCTGAGATACGAGAATTTACAGCAGTTGATTATGTGCCCCCTTACCCTTATTGTGAGGGCTGAGCGCTACAAAATCAAGTGGTTTCTCACTGCTTGTTTGGAATTACCATCACAGTACACCAGGGGGCTGTAGGCCTTGCCCAGCACCATCAAACAGCCAGAAAAACTCACTGCTTAACAAAAAATTAATAATAATTTTTAAAAGTACTTTCACACATACTCTGTTCATTCTGTTGCCTTTTTATGGAACGAGTCTTGCGGTATATTAAGAAAACATGTTACAGAGCAGTGGGATCAATTGCTCTCATTAGCTAATGAGGACAGAACAAGCCGTAAGGAGCAGCACAGAAAATTTACTTACAGTTGCATAACTGTTCTTGTTATTAATAGAACAAACTCCTCTGGGAGACTATGGAATTCCCATCACTTCACATATTCAAAGCTATGTGTAACACTGATCTATTACAGATAGCTCAGGGATAATTAAATTATTTTTTCCATGGTATGAGGGATGGATTTGACCCCACTAGGCCAACCCACGTGATTTAAGGATACCAGCATAGGAGTTGGCAGCAGACCATTCTTAGTGAAAGCCCTGGACACTGGAATTAGCTCCACCCTTTGCCCACCAGAGTTAATGTTGGTGAGCACGGTGTATTTCCACTTGTGGGAAGTAAGGAAAACAAACCCATCCAAGTTTCAGAGTAACAGCCATGTTAGTCTGTATTCGCAAAAAGAAAAGGAGTACTTGTGGCACCTTAGAGACTAACCAATTTATTTGAGCATGAGCTTTCGTGAGCTACAGTTCACTTCATTGGATGCATACTGTGGAAACTGCAGAAGACATTATATACACAGAGACCATGAAACAATACCTCCTCCCACCCCACTCTCCTGCTGGTAATAGCTTATCTAAAGTGATCATCAAGTTGGGCCATTTCCAGCACAAATCCAGGTTTTCTCACCCTCCGCCCCCCCCTCCCCCAAACTCACTCTCCTGCTGGTAATAGCCCATCCAAAGTGACCACTCTCTTTAAAATGTGTATGATAATCAAGGTGGGACATTTCCAGCACAAATCCAGGTTTTGTCACCCCCCCCACCCCCCTCCAAAAACCACACACACAAACTCACTCTCCTGCTGGTAATAGCTTATCCAAAGTGATCACTCTCCTCACAATGTGTATGAAAATAAAGGTGGGCCATTTCCAGCACAAATACAGGTTTTCTCACCCCCCCACCCCCATGCACACACAAACTCACTCTCCTGCTGGTAATAGCTCATCCAAAGTGACCACTCTCCCTACAATGTGCATGATAATCAAGGTGGGCCATTTCCAGCACAAATCCAGGTTTTCCCATACACTCCCCCCACACACACACACACAAACTCACTCTCCTGCTGGCAATAGCCCATCCAAACCGACCACTCTCCTTACAATGTGCATGATAATCAAGGTGGGCCACATGGCCCCACAGTATGCCAACATTTTTATGGCTGATTTAGAACAACGCTTCCTCAGCTCTCGTCCCCTAATGCTCCTACTCTACTTGCGCTATATTGATGACATCTTCATCATCTGGACCCACGGAAAAGAAGCCCTTGAGGAATTCCACCATGAAATTCAGCCATAAAAATGTTGGCATACTGTGGGGCCATGCGGGTACCCATAGCAGTGCCGCTGATCTGAAGGTATACATTGTCCCCAAATGTAAAATAGTTATGGGTAAGGACAAAGTCGTGAGGAATTCCACCATGATTTCAACAATTTCCATCCCACCATCAACCTCAGCCTGGTCCAGTCCACACAAGAGATCCACTTCCTGGACACTACAGTGCTAATAAACAATGGTCACATAAACACCACCCTATACCGGAAACCTACTGACCGCTATGCCTACCTACATGCCTCCAGCTTTCACCCTGACCACACCACATGATCCATTGTCTACAGCCAAGCTCTGCGATACAACCGCATTTGCTCCAACCCCTCAGACAGAGACAAACACCTACAAGATCTCTATCAAGCATTCTTGCAACTACAGTGCCCACCTGCGGAAGTGAAGAAACAGATTGATAGAGCCAGAGGAGTTCCCAGAGGTCGCCTACTGCAGGACAGGCCTAGCAAAGAGAATAGCGGAACGCCGCTGGCCGTCACCTTCAGCCCCCAACTAAATCCCCTCCGGCACATTATTGGGGATCTGCGGCCTGTCCTGAGGGATGACCCAATACTCTCACAAATCTTGGGAGTCAGGCCAGTCCTTGCCTGCGGGCGGCCCCCCGGTCTGAAGCAAATGCTCACCAACAACCACATACCACACAACAGAGCCACTAACCCAGGAACCTATCCTTGCAACAAAGCCCATTGCCAACTGTGCCCACATATCTATTCAGGGGACACCACCAAAGGGCCTACTAACATCAGCCACACTATCAGAGGCTCGTTCACCTGCACATCCACCAGTGTGATATATGCCATCATGTGCCAGCAATGCCCCTCTGCCATGTACATTGGTCAAACTGGACAATCTCTACGTAAAAGAATAAATGGACACAAATCAGATGTCAAGAATTATAACATTCATAAACCAGTCGGAGAACACTTCAATCTCTCTGGTCACGCAATCACAGACATGAAGGTCGCTATCTTACAACAAAAAAAACTTCAAATCCAGACTCCAGCGAGAAACTGCTGAATTTGAATTAATTTGCAAATTGGATACTATTAATTTAGGCTTAAATAGAGACTGGGAATGGCTAAGTCATTATGCAGGGTAGCCTATTTCCCCTTGTTTTTTTCTGCCCCCCCCCCCCCCCCACCCGACGTTCTGGTTAAACTTGGATTTATGCTGGAAATGGCCCACCTTGATTATCATGCACATTGTAAGGAGAGTGGTCCGTTTGGATGGGCTATTGCCAGCAGGAGAGTGAGTTTGTGTGTGGGGGGGGAGGGGTGGGAAAACCTGGATTTGTGCTGGAAATGGCCCACCTTGATTATCATGCACATTGTAGGGAGAGTGGTCGCTTTGGATAAGCTATTATCAGCAGGAGAGTGAGTTTTTGTGTGTGTGTTTTTTTGAAAAAAGGGGGTGAGGGGGGTGAGAAAACCTGTATTTGTGCTGGAAATGGCCCACCTTGATTTTCATACACATTGTGAGGAGAGTGATCACTTTGGATAAGCTATTACCAGCAGGAGAGTGGGGCGGGAGGAGGTATTGTTTCATGGTCTCTGTGTATATAAAGTCTTCTGCAGTTTCCACAGTATGCATCCAATGAAGTGAACTGTAGCTCACGAAAGCTCATGCTCAAATAAATTGGTTAGTCTCTAAGGTGCCACAAGTCCTCCTTTTCTTTTTGCGAAACCCATCCAAGTGTTCAAGGGCTACTGTATATATGTTTTGAGTTGCTAAACAATATTGGAAATTTCCATTTGAGCATTAAGTGAAATTACACTATTTTTCAACCCACATCATAAGATTTCTAGGCAGGTGAAACAATCAACACTGAGTGAAAACAATTTGCATCCACCATAATTTATCAAATAAGAAAAGTAGTAGATATCAGCTGGCCAAATTCTGGCTTTATTTTTGCACATTACAAAATCTGCATTCAAAATATGGGCATCACGTTATTTATACTCAACAGTATTACTATTTGTAAATGGGCAATAACTGAGGCCTCTTACACCAGAAAAACTGATCAAGGAATTCAGTTAGATATAATCAGAATAATTATGGAAAGACTATGGAAGTGAACCATTTTAAGAGCTCATCTGACATTTTGCCCAAGTTAGATATTGCTGTCAGCTTTATGCTTGACTGACTACAGGCTCTGTTTTGCAAGGTGCTGAGCAGAGCTCGCCAAAATAATTGACCAAAAAGGACAAAATTTTCCTGAAAAATGTTGACTTTTTCAACCAGCTCTAGTAGTGCTGAGTACTCAAGAGTGCAAAGGGCTACACAGGACTGTTCAGCGCCTTTCTGGATCAAGCTCTGAGCTATCATCAGACTTCGCTGTCCCTTACCTGTCAGAACAGGGAGTTGACCTGATACTGCGTAAACTTTGGGCATCAGCGTCCGAACTGCTGCTTCTTCCACCTTCAGCTTTCACATTGGCAATTTCTCCTTTGGTCACTGCCCTGATGGCCTTCCTGAGGAGCATAAATTAAAAAAAATAAAACAGGGTGAAAATGTAAAGCACACAACAGTTAAACCAATGTTGCTTTTGTGAGATCTTTCCTGTTAGAAAAGAGAGAAGGCAATGGCTCTGATAGCACCATGCTGTGCTTCTAGTGGATGTGTTTTGAGTATTGCTGAGGTCAAAAATGGAAGAGGCAGTCACAGGTTTAGAAAAAGGCTCACCTATCTCTCTCACTCACATAAATAATAATAGTGCCATGTATATTACAGTAGCACTCAAAGCATGCCAGGAGTTGTACCAACACATAAGACGATACAGAGCCAGCCCCAAAGAGCTTAAGAACTAAAAAGGAAAAAAAAACAGAGGCGGAAAGGGGCATGATTAACGCCCTACTCGAACAGCAGGATGATTGTCAAATAATTGCGGCTGAGTTGCGGACAAGACATGGAAAATTCTGGAAAAGTAATAATAGACCTATATTAATTGCAGTAATTTGGAAAAGTCAGAGAAGACCTATTTGTTAAAGAAAAAATTGCTGGAACTATATAAACACTCAAGTATTACATTATGCCTTCTAATTTTTTTTTTGATAACCATACATTTTGCTGCAACTATATTACAATCTTTAATGTACAGGGCTGACAGCGGGAGCACAGCCAGGCTCCTGCTGTCATCCCCGGGCGGCTGATAAAATTGCAGTGGATGCCTAATATTGTGGGATCTTCAATTCTTGCAATATTGTGAATTAAATAGGGCCTTAGGTATGACATTCAATCAATGTGGTCAGAGTGACAACCTCAGCTAGTAGTAGTTCTGATGGCACGTTAGTTAGTTTGGTTTCCTTTTTATTTGTTGGGGGTGTAATAGGTGGGTAATGAGATAAGAAAGGAGAGAAGCAAGAAGGGATAAGTTTGCGAGAATGAGAAAAGAATGGGACGATGGCATAAAGTAAAGCAGACAGAAAAGGAGGAGATGATGAAAAGGGGAAGTGGAAGAGTCCTGTGTTGTGACTGGAGCAGAGTTTTATCATTCCCTCCCACCTCCAAGAGCCCAAGTAAAGATGTCTGGGTGATGTCAGGAATCTGAGGGTCTGAAGCTGGCTCCCGCTGTGGGCTGCTAAGGCACCTTAGCTAAATTTACTGATGGAGACTATACATTATATATTAGCTGTGTTGCAATAACAGATGTAATTGTTTCCATGGCTTTTCAAAAAGCTGTGTAAAATGACTCTTGGCAATTGTAGGAAGTGCTTTGCTCTGATCTTCCAGTTATAAGATCAATCTCCCATAATCAGATCAATCTCCCATAATCAGTGACAGAAATATACTGCAGAACTGTTTATCACAGAGGGTGACTTCTTGGTAAGCTAATACTCCTTTTTTCCCCTCTTCTGGCCCTCTTAGATAGCTGCTAGATGCACACTCAGCAAACTGACAGACAGGCCGAGCGTCTTCAAGGAGAGAAGACTGTCCAAGATAAAAGGGATCTCAGAGCTTCTGGAGGTAAGCTACTGTTGACAGCAGATGGAGAATCACTTCCATTTGGCAGCATAGCACTTCCTTGTAGAGAGCTTCCTGCTGCTAAGGATGGACTGTACCTGTTCAGAGCACAACCTCTCTCTAAGCACCAAATGGAGGGAGGGTGGGTTTGGATGGTTGGTTCTGCCCCCTGTTCTGAGACAGTAAGTTCAGGAACAGGTACATACATATGAATGGGCGAAAGGCCACCAAATTGTCTTGGCCACCAAGGTGCCACCAGGATTATTGTTGCCTTGTCTTCCTTTGACCTTCTTGAAGACATGGGATAATAGATATATATTAGCGGACCTGACCACTGTACCAGAAAGGCATTCTCCTGGAGTTACGCCTATGGGTACTCAGGAGCTGTAGGCATTTCTAGTTTGCTTGGGTTGTAAAGAGGTCCCGCAATGGGAAACCCCACTGCCAGAAAATGTACTGCATCACAGAAGAATGGAGCTCCCACTTGTAATCCTGGTGGAAATACCTGCTTAGGTTGTCTGCTAAGGTGTCCATTCCTTCCAGGAGGTGTGCTGCTAAGGAGGTTATCCAATGCCAGATCCACCAGTTCCAGAGCATGACTGCTTCCATGCCGAGGGGCAGACTTTGTTTCTTCCTGTTTGTTTATACAAAATACAGTAGTCATGTTGTCTGACATCATTTAGACATGTGTGGACTGGATGAAGGGTAGGAACCTCTTGTATGCTTCATGCACTCCTGAGAAGTCTGATGCATAGTTTGGATTCTTGCAGAGTCCAGGATCCCTGAGCAATATAGTCCTCCAGGTGCACTCCCCAGCCCAGAAGAGAAGCATCCGTTATGAGTGTCTTTGTGGGTGGTGATGGGGGGAACATAGGAATCCCTATGAAAACAGTCTCTTTCGTTTCCCACAAAGTGAGAGATGTGAGGATGTTTGGAGGAAGTGAAACTCCTTTGTCCAGGGCAGCTGTGCTTGGCAGCCTCGATTGTCCATAACCATGCCAGGAGGCACCAGAGGTGGAGCCTCACAAAGGATGTCACTTAGGTGCAGGCAGCCACGTGACCTAGAGGGACCATGTCGGACAGGACTGCCATCTGGGGGCTGAGTCAGAGCTGGGTGATGATGTCCCTCAACATGTGGACTCCGTCCAGTGGTAAGTATGCTTTGGGTATGTAAGTATGCTCTAGATTTCACTAAGAAGCCGAAGGGGAAAACTCTGTAGTGAAAGTGATCGTGGTGCACCGTAAAGCGCGGGCCTCGCTTGTGAGCTGGATGAATGTCTATATGAAAATATGCATCCTCCAAGTCAAGGGCCACAAGTCAGTCACCTTCATTTAGGGATGGGATTATTGAGGCCAAGGTGCTCATCCTGAATTTTGAATGACGTATAAAAACATCAGTTTGTCTGAGGTCCAGGATTGGTCTCCAGACCTTCTTCCTTTTGGGTACAAGGAAATATCTTGAACAACAACCCTTGTCCCTATGTTGAGAAGGCATAAACTCTACTGCCCACAGCGGAATTAAAGAGTTCACCTCCTGTTTGAGATACCTCTTGTGAAGAGGGCTGGGGAGGGGCATTTTGGAGAAGGAGTAGAAAAGAGTTCTATGGTGAGGCCTATCAAGATTTTCTCTAGGACCCCCCTGTCCAATGTGATATGGTGCCACTTTGGAAGGGAATGGGACAGGCATCCCATCAAAATACCTTTTCCACGGGAGGCTGGGATTGAAGAGAGGAAAGTAGTGGTGCACTGTGACTGCCATGCTGTACATGTGTCACTTCCTAGGGAGCTCAAAGGCCCTTTGATCATAGATGGGCTGAGAGCCAGGACAGTGTCTATGAGTTCCTCCTGTGCACCAGGATATATATCCCTAAGAAGTGGAGAGCTGCACAAGACTCTTCAAGGGAATGAAGTGCCTCATCTTTCCCTCGCTGAACAGGTTGTTACCCTTGAAGAGGAGATCTTTTACTGTTGTCTGGACCTCCTTGGGGAAACCTGAGGATTGCAGCCAGGAGGCCTAACTCATCATGACCAATGTTGTCATATCTGCTGCATCAAGCAACGCTTGCAGGGACAATCTATCAACCAATTTCCCCTTCTCAAGGCCTGCCTGGAATTGGAGACCGCACTCCTATAGCAGCTTATTAGCTAACTCCAACAGCTTGGACATCAATACTTGGTAATTCACTATATGAAATAAAAAGCTAGATGATGAAAAATTCTTTCTGCCAAAGAGATCCAGCCTCTTGGCATCCTTGACTGAAGGGGTGGACCTAGGCTGGTGCAGCATGCTGCCTTCCATGACAGTCTGGACCATGAAAGAGTTCGGATTTGGGTGAGAGAACAAATATTCTGCCTCTTTGATGGAACAAAGAAATTTTTGTCTGCCCTTTTTGGGAGAGTGGCACAAGTGGCTGGAGTGTACCCCACCACCTTAGCAGCTGCCAATATGGCGTCATTACCAGGAAATGCCACCTTGTCCGGAGAATGTCCAGGAGCTTATGAGTTGGATCTTGGACCTCCTCCAGGGGGATCTCACCGGTTTCTGCAATCTTCCTTATAAGGTCTTGTTACTGTCTATAGTCATCTAGTGGCAAGAGTTAGGCTGGTGCCACTCCCTCATCTGGAGAGGAGGAAGAAGAAAGTGCTATCGGTGGATGCAGCGGTACCAGCTGGTCTTCTTCCTCAAAACACTCCTGGGGGGACTCAGGCTCGTGGCTTGAAGGTAACCTCTGTTAAAAGCATTGCCCAGTCTGGGACTCTAAAGTAAGGATGCCCGAAGCCTCAGTATGGCTCCTGGCAGGGGATCATACGGATGGGGGACAGTCCCGTGGGGAATACCACTTGTCCCTATACCAATAATGTGCTCAGTAAGAATGTGGAGGCATTCAGGGGCTCTGAAAGCCCTGTCAGGGCTCATCTCATGTCTCAGGACCATGGGTGGAACCACTGGCCCCAATTCTTGTTCGTCAGTGGAGCTGGGCAACTCCTGTTCCCCTAATGGAGCTGATGGTACCATTTTGCCCTGTGATGTTGTGGCTGGTAGAACGAACCAGCAGCTGGTGTACAGAAGGTATTGGAGCCTCTACACCATGGCTGGTATTCAGAACCAGCAAAGGCCGTGCCATCATTGTACGGTTGTCCCTGGGCACTACGGGGTCTGAAAGAATCAGTCACTCTGGATTGGTGTAGATCAGAAGGTCGTCAAGAAAGGGATATGCAGGTCTAACGGGTGGAGAGTGTGAGGGTCTCTGATTTCTGGGTCGATCCCCCCCATGCAGTTTTGTGCAAGGCGTCTTCTTGCAGCGTAGTGCAGAAGGTGAATGGTCTCTTCTCTCTTTCGGTGGTGCAGGGATCAGTCACACCCCTTGTATTGATGGTTTCAAAGCACTCAGCTCTCAGTAGCATCGGTGCCACATGCTTCCCGTGAGCTATAGACACACTCACACCTGGGTGTGGAGTCTCACTTGGTACCGAGGGTAGGGGAGAAGCAGTCCTCTTCTTAAAGGACTTGTGAGGCAATTTATCCCTCTTCTTACAGGGGTGTTAATCCTTACCCGTCTCATGCCTCCACTTAGATAATGTCAGGCACTGCGGCTCTCAAACCCAGGCCCATGGGGTTGCCAAACAAAAGCCTTACTCTCCGTGCCACCATGCTGCAAGCTGAGATTAGGGAACCACAACTAATGCCCCACCACCAGAGACTACATCCACTGACTCAGCAAGGTCAGATGACTAGCAACAGACTGCTGATTGCACACCACCAGGCATAAAGCTGCCTGTTCCTGTCCCACCTCTTGTCTGAGCAATTAGTTGCTAGGCCTGCTTGTGCCCAGACCCCTGAGACCAATTTACTGCCTCCTTGCCTGATTACTGGTCCTCGTTACTGTTCCATTAAGTACTCGCAGAGTCAGAACTCCCGCAACTGTCTGGTCCAAGGGGGAAAGAAATGGCAGATTGCACACTTGGAGGAATGTCTGTTTCCTGAGACAGTACAGGCAGCTCTTGTGAAGGTCACTGATTGGGAAGACTTGGCAGCAGGCCAGACAGAGCTAAAAGCCTGGAACCATGGGCATACTAAGAGCCCCAAATGGTAGGAAACCCCTAAGCTTCAAACTATCTACTAACACTAACAGCTAACTAGTAGGGCTGTCAAGCGATTAAAAAATTAATCACTAATAATTGCATGATTAAAACAATTAATCACACTGTTAATAAAAGAATATCATTTATTTAAATATTTTTGGATCTTTTCTACATTTTCAAATATACCGATTTCAATTACAACACAGAATACAAAGTGTACAGTGCTCACTTTATATTTATTTTTTATTACAAATATTTGTGCTGTAAAAATATTTTTCAATTCACCTCATACAAGTACTGGAAATTCACCTCATATAAGTACTGTAATTCAATCTCTTTATCATGAAAGTTGAATTTACAGATGTAGAATTATGTACAAAAAATAACGGCACTCAAAAATAAAACAATGTAAAACTTTAGAGCCTACAAGTCCACTGAGTCCTACTTCTTGTTCAGCCAATCACTCAGACAAACAAGTTTGTTTACATTTGCGGGGGATAACGTTGCCTGATTCTAGTTTACAATGTCACCTGAAAGTGAGAACAGGCATTCACATGGCATTGTTGTAGCTGGCATCACAAGATACTTACATGCCAGATGTGCTAAAGATTCATATGTCCCTTCATGCTTCAACCACCATTCCAGAGGACATGCGTCCATGCTGATGACAGGTTCTGCTCGATAACGATCCAAAGCAGTGTGGACCGACGCATGTTCATTTTCATTATCTGAGTCAGATGCCACCAGCAGAAGGTTGATTTTCCTTTTTGGTGGTTTGGGTTCTGTAGTTTCCGCATCAGAGAGTTGCTCTTTTAAGACTTCTGAAAGCATGCTTCTCACTTCGTCCCTCTCAGATTTTGGAAGGCATTTCAGATTCTTAAACCTTGGGTCAGGTGCTATAGCTATCTTTAGAAAGCTCGCATTGATATCTTTTTTATGTTTTGTCAAATCTGCAGTGAAAGTGTTCTTAAAACGAACAACATGCTGGATCATCATCTGAAACTGCTAGAACATGAAATACATGGCAGAACGCGGGTAAAACACAGAGCAGGAGATGTGCTATTCTCCCTCCAAGGAGTTCAGTCACAAATTTAACGAACCCATTATTTTTTTAACGAGCAGCATCAGCATGTCCTCTGGAAAGGTGGACGAAGCACGAAGTGGCCCTACGAATGTTTAGCATATCTGGCATGTGAATACCTTGCAACGCCGGCTACAAAATTGCCATGCAAACATCTGTTCTCACTTTCAGGTGCCATTGTAAATAAGAAGCGGGCAGCATTATGTCCTGTAAATGTAAACAAACTTGTTTGTCTTAGTGATTGGCTGAACAAGAAGTAGAATTGAGTGGACTTGCAGGATCTAAAGTTTTGCATTGTTTTGTTTCTGAGTGCATTTATGTAACAAAAAATATCTACATTTGTAAGTTGCACTTTCACGATAAAGATTCCATTACGGTACTTGTATGAGGTGAATTGAAAAATACTATTTCTTTTGTTTATAATTTTTACAGTCCAAATATATGTAATACAAATAATAATATAAAGTAAGCACTGTACACTTTGTATTCTGCATTGTAATTGAAATCAATATATTTGAAAATGTAGAAATATATCCCAAAATATTTAATAAATTTAAATTGGTATTCTGTTGTTTAGCAGTGCAATTAAAACTGTGATTAATCAGGATTAATGTTTTAAATCACGATTAATTTTGTTGAGTTAATTGCATGAGTTAACTGCAATTAATCGACAGTCCTACTAACTAGCTAAGATAAAACTATGTACAAGAGAAACAAAACAGTTCATGTGGGAACGCTAGCAAAAGCAGTGGGCACTGGAGGGCTCGGTCTCAGACCATGAGCGGTAGAAATGAAATGGGGAGGTGGTTGGTTCACACCACCCCTTATCCTCTTGGTTTAGAGTACAAGGAGGTGTAAGGCACAGCCATGGACTAACAGACACTGATGTTGAAAAGTCTTTCAGCCTTAAGCACATGGAGTGAATGCGCACCCACAGAGAATATACAAAGGGACCAGCACTTAAAGAATAATACTGTGTGCCATACTGGTCACCTCATCTCAAAGAGGATATGACAGAACTAGAGGGGTTCAGAGAAGGATGAGGAGAATGATTAGCGAAATCAACCTAGAAATACTCTCATATGGAGACTGAAAAGATTGGGATTGTTTATCCTAGAAAGGAGATGTATAAGAGGGAGTATTATAAAGGTATACAAAATAACAAAAACATGGCCTAGAGAAAGTAGACTGGGAGCTTCTATTCTCCTTGTCTCCTAACACAAGAACAAGGGGACATTCAATTAAATAATAAGTAAGCAAATTCACAACTGATCAAAGAAAATACTTCTTTGTAATTAGGCTGTGGAACTCATTGCCATAGGAAGCTGTTGAAGCCAAGAATTCAGCAAAATTCAAAAATGAATTGGATATTGACATGGATAACAAGAATGTCCAGAGTTATGAAGATTAATGATAAAATGTTGGAGGAATTATTAATAATTTTATATATTATTATTATTGCAGACCACCTTGTGTCCAGGAATCAGCCAAACTCTAAGTATTAGAGACCACGATAAGGCCTAATATGAGGGACAGATAACCCAAAAGCTGTCTAGTGAAGGTTTCTTACACTTTGCTCTTGAGTTCCTGCACTGGGCCAAAGTCAGTGACAGGATACCAGATTCTGTAAAGCTTGGGTCTGACCCAATATGACAATTCCCATGTTTTCCTAGCTTTCTCTGCAATAAATCTTTCCCCTTTGGAGATGATTTGTCACTTGAAATATTGACATTTTAACCATAGCAGATTTTCCCATTTGGCGGTGAATTGCAATAAAAAGGGAAGATAAGAAACAGGCATAAATCAGTTCTCTAAACATTTAGTTACTGTGCTACTAAGTGTTCACAACAAAGATGGTAAATGCTCCACTCCACTAAGGAGGCCGATTTTCAAGATACCTTCACCATGGCTATTATCTGCATGAACTGTAATTAAATGCAATTTTTAGTGCCACCGATTCCTTAGGCTGTATCCCCTTCATCTGCATAGGAGTACTCAGAAGCCGCAGCTGCTTCTTTTATCCAACGTTAATGAGGAAAAATCAAGTGAAGTTTCAGATTGATTGTCAGAGGTCCAGTTCACTCCTCTATTCCCTTGACCATCACAGCCCTCATAATTTACATACTCTATATGCTGTAGATGCACCTGCATAGCAATTCAGTAAGTAGTAATTAGCAAACTCTTAACCAAGAGCTTTTCCTATGAAGAGTAACTATAGGATCTATAAAAAGAAAAGGAGTACTTGTGGCACCTTAGAGACTAACCAATTTATTTGACCATGAGCTTTCGTGAGCTGTAGCTCACGAAAGCTCATGCTCAAATAAATTGGTTAGTCTCTAAGGTGCCACAAGTACTCCTTTTCTTTTTGCGAATACAGACTAACACGGCTGTTACTCTGAAACCTATAGGATCTATGTTCCCTGTCAAAATTTGCTCAATTTACCAATAAAAAGTTGTTTTTCTAATTGCAAGCCTGGATAACTCAGCCCACGATCTGAAAGTTAAGCTGAGTTCTGTCCTCCCCATGCATCAATGCCAATTTATGCCCCAAAAACAACTATTCAACCCCACCGCACGTGTATCGCTCATTCTTTACAAACATGAGGGAATGTTCTGGAAACAACAAGGTTGCACAGGTGTCACAGAGGCCATCATATACCCAAGCACCGTTTTTATTTACTGAAGAGGCTTCATGAAAAGAGAACATAGCTTTCAGATCACATGGGGGGAGGGGAGGGGTCACAGAGCTGGAAGTTAGGGGCAAAACATCATTTTCCTTGTGAACTGAGCTAATTTTATGCGGAAGCCACTCAGAGGAAACAAACATGGAGCTTCAAGGTGCCATTTTTACAGCCATTTTTCAGAGTAGAAGCACACTTAGAAACACTTCAAATTCGAAGTGTTAACCTCTTACCAGGAGGAAAAATCCAATAGTCGCCATTGCCTTTTGCTGCTACCTTGTAGCAAAAGGTAATTATAGCTGCATTTCCTAGGAGACTGCAGTCTAATTATAGCAATTGTTTCAAAGCAGATTGTTTCTAACCCTGGGAGATTTTGGTGTGATCTGCAATACTGGAGACACAGAGAGAAAGAGAGAGAGGGAGACTGGAGAGACTCAAAAGAAAATCTGCTCAGAGGTGCTGTACTCTGAATGATCAGTTTCCAAAGTTCAAGACTTTACCCTATCTTTCTGGGTCCACTGAATATTGATTTCTGCCCACTTGTGGAGGAAGCTGGGGTATCTTGCATTTGCTCTGCATTCTCCTGGGTGTGATCTTTGGCTTGCCCTCCTTCTTTCTTACCAGAAACAGTATCTGAAGGAGAAAAAAAATATTTGGGGAAATAAAGACAACATATGCCAAGTGTGCATCTGATATAGATAGAATATTGTTTTAAAATTAATAAAAAAACCTGTTCAGACTATCACAAAGCCATTTTTGCATAGCTCAGTTTCTTTTTTAAATAAGAGAGCATCACAAAAGTAACCAGTTTTAGTTTAGTTATTTTAGAACTTTGATGCAGGTGGGTTGTTGTTGGTTTCTTTGTTTGTTTTGTTTTTCAACATTTTCCTTTGAATTATGCCCCCAACTTTGTTGCTAATTAATAAATTAAATAAATTTAGTGATGGAGAAACATGGGAAAAATACACCTTGCAGTTTATAGCTCTTCCTGTGTTAAGTGAGAGAGCACATTCTCTGCATTAAAAATGTTTTCAACTGGGAGGAAAATGTGGACAAAATGCTTTGGACATTACCTTTTCTTCTCATAATATATCTAACAAAAATATAAATACACAAATACAGTAATATAAACAAAATATACATCTCGATATCTTGCATAAAATAAAGGCAGAAAACCAAGAATGCTAGTCATGTGCCAATGGATAATTCTTGAGGTGGCACACATACCAGAAAGGTCAAAATTTTGCCAAGTAGAATATCAGAATTCATAGTAATTTTCTTTTAATAGCAGCCAGCCCTCCTTCTTCCTAAATACACTTAGTCACTGTAACTTAGCTGCTGAATATGATAAACACTACCTGGAAAACACAGGCTGTACTTAGATGGTGGCATGTGGGTGAAGTGTTAAAATAGTTCATCTGAGAGGAGGGACCTTTGTATTCAGAAATAACTCCTACTCCTTAAACTGGTGACGCTGTAGTGGAGGTGAGACATGCATGCAGCTCTGAGGAATGTAATATGTGCTATCCCCTGTTGGATCAATGAAGCAGACCACATTATCCACGTGTAAACATGTATGTGCATGTGCAATGGGTATCTAGGTGATGGGAAAGTTAAGATGTTGCCTCAGAATAAAGAGGTACAAAGAAGCTGGTATACAGCCTGTGATCTAGCACTTAGCGAGTCTTCCCCCACACAGAATAAGAAAAAAAAAAGTTTAGTACAGTAGAGAATTACAATTTGAGTTCCATGGGGGGGAAAAGAAGTGGCAAAGATGGAAAAATCATGGAGCAGGTCCACACGGAATCAATCCTGAAGCACTTAGAGGAGAGGAAAGTGATCAGGAACAGTCAGCATGGATTCACCAAGGGCAAGTCATGCCTGCCTAATCTAATTGCCTTCTATGATGAGATAAGTGGCTCTGTGAATGAGGGGAAAGCAGCGGACGTGTTATTCCTTGACTTTAGCAAAGCTTTTGACACGGTCTCCCACAGTATTCTTGCCAGTAAGTTAAAGAAATATGGGCTGGATGAATGGACTATAAGATGGATAGAAAGCTGGCTAGATCTTCAGGCTCAATGGGTAGTGATCAATGGCTCCATGTCTAGTTGGCAGCTGGTATCAAAGGGAGTGCCCCAAGGGTCGGTCCTCGGGCCGGTTTTATTCAATATCGTCATTAATGATCTGGAGGATGGTGTGGATTGCACCCTCAGCAAGTTTGCAGATGACACTAAACTGGAAGGAGAGGTAGATACGCTGGAGGGTAGGGATAGGATACAGAGGGACCTAGATAAATTAGAGGATTGGGCCAAAAAAAATCTGATGAGGTTCAACAAGGATAAGTGCAGTTAGGACGGAAGAATCCCATGCACCGCTACAGACTGGGGACCGAATGGCTAGGCAGCAGTTCTGCAGAAAAGGACCTAGGGGCTACAGTGGACAAGAAGCTGGATATGAGTCAACAGTGTGCCCTTGTTGCCAAGAAGGCCAATGGCATTTTGGGATGTATAAGTAGGGGCATTGCCAGAAGATCGAGGGACGTGATCGTTCCCCTCTATTCGACATTGGTGAGGCCTCATCTGGAGTACTGTGTCCAGTTTTGGGCCCCACACTATAAGAAGGATGTGGAAAAATTGGAAAACGTCCAGCAGAGGGCAACAAAAATGATTAGAGGACTGGAACACATGACTTATGAGGAGAGGTTGAGGGAACTGGGATTGTTTAGTCTGCGGAAGAGAAGAATGAGGGGGGATTTGATAGCTGCTTTCAACTACCTGAAAGGGGGTTCCAAAGAGGATGGATCTAGACTGTTCTCAGTGATAGCAGATGACAGAACAAGGAGTAATGGTCTCAAGTTGCAGTGGGGGAGATTTAGGTTGGATATTAGGAAAAACTTTTTCACTAGGAGGGTGGTGAAACACTGGAATGCATTACCTAGGGAGGTGGTGGAATCGCCTTCCTTTGAAGTTTTTAAGGTCAGGCTTGACAAAGCCCTGTCTGTGATGATTTAGTTGGGGACTGGACTAGATGACCTCCTGAGGTCCCTTCCAACCCTGATATTCTATGATTCTATGATAGTTAATGTTTAGAGGTCAGCATAATTCATGCTGGAATGTCTGTATGTAAGGATACAGAAAATGAAATTTGAGAGATCTTGCACTACTGAATAATTTGTCTATGTTTATTTAGGTCAAGATCACATACAAATAGTAAGCTCTTCAGAGTAGAGAGGGTGTTCTTTTCAATGTTCTGTAAAGTATCCAGTACTCTTCAGACCTTAGTTGCAAAATAAAAAAGCTGACTAATACATAATTATTATTCAAATTCAGTGATAATTGGGAATTGTTTAGGAACACTTTACTAGATGCCAAAGAAGCCACAATCAAGGAAGAAGGCCATGTTGGTTAAAAATATCACCGGGTTTAGAAGACAACTATAAAAAATAAAAAAGATTAAGAAATAACAAATGGAAGAAAGGGGAAGTTGATAGTAAGGAATGTAACTGTAGAAAACCGAAGAGGGAACCAAAGGGACACAAGGAGAAATCTATGGCCAGCAGAGTTAAGAACAATAAGGAGTTTTTAAAGTATATTAGAAACACAAAAAATCCTAACAATAGTATCATTCCATTACTAAATGGAAATGGTAGAATTATCAATAATAATGAAGAAAAGCAAAAAATCTTCAATAAATATTTGTTCTGTATTGTGTGTGTGGGGGGGGAGACTATGTAATCATGTCATATAACACAACACTCTCTCCATTCCACTAGTATCTCGAGAATGTTAAACAGGAGCAACTAAAGTTAGAGAGTTTAAATCAATTTATCAAGATAATTTGCATCCAAAACTTTTAAAAGAGCTGATTGAGGAACCTGATGGACTGTTAGTATTGATTTTCAATAGCTCTTTGAATATCAGGGAAGTTCCAGAAGACCAGAAGAAAGCTAATATCATGCCAATATTTTAACAAGGTAAAGAGGATGACCCGGGTAATTACAGGCTTGACAGTTTGACGTTTATCCCAGGCAAGATAATGAAGCAACTGATATGTGACTTGATTAATAAAGAATTAAAGGAGTGTAATATAATTAATGCCAATCAACATGGATTTATGAAAAATAGATCCTGTCAAACTAACTGGATTTTTTTTTTAAGAATAAAAGTTTGCTTGATAAAGGTAATAGAGTTGATGTAATAGAGAGACTTCTGTAAGGCATTTGACTTGGTACCACACAACATTTTGTTTAAAAAGCTAGAGTGATACAAAATTAAGATGGCACACATTGAATGGATGAAAAACGGATAGGTTTCAGAATGTAACTGTAAACGGGGAAATCATCATCGAACGAGTATATCTCTAGCGGGGCCCTGCAAGGATTGGTTCTTGGCCCTTATGCTATTTAACACTTCTAGTAATGACCTAGAAGAAAAACATGCAATTATTACTGATAAAGTTTGCAGAGAGAGTGGTAAATAAATGAAGAGAGCAGGTCACTGATACAGAGATATCTGGATTGTTGGTAAGCTGGGTGCAAGCAAACAACGTGTGTGTTAATATGGCTACATATAAATGTATACATCTAGGAACACTGGAAGTAGGCCATACTTACAGGATAGTGACTATTCTGGGAAGCAACAGATCTGAAAAAGATGGGGAGGGGGGTTGCGATAGATAATCAGCTGATCATGCTGTGGCCAAAAGAACTAATGTGATCACGGAATGCATAAACAGGGGAATCTCGTGTAGAAGTACAGAGGTTATTTTACCTCTGTATTTGGCACTGGTGCGACCACGGCTGGAATAGTGGGCATCAGAATTGGTCACAGAATTCAAGAAGGATGTTGATGAGTTGGAGAGGGTTCAGAGAAGAGCCACGATAACGATGAAAGGTTTAGAAAACATACTTTATAGTGATAGACTCAAGGAGTTCAATCTGTTTAGTTTAACAAAAAGAAGGTAAAGAAGTGACTTAATTACAGTCTACACATACCTACATTGGGAACAAATATTTAATAATGGGCTCTTCAATCTAGCAGAGAAAGGTATAATATGATCCAGTGGCTGGCAGTTGAAGCTAGACAAATTCAGAGTGGAAATAAGGTATAAATTTGAACAGTGAGAGTAATTAACCATTAGAACAGTTTACCAAGGGTTGTGGTGGTTTCTCCATCACTGGCAACTTTTAAATCTAGATTAAATGTCTAACAGTTCTGCTCTAGGAATTATTTTGGGGAAGCTCCATGGCCTGTGTTACGCGGGAGGTCGGACTAGATTATCACAATGGTCCCTTCTGGCCTTAGAATCTATTACTCTATTGAAAGTATTGATACAGGCTAGGAGTTCTATAATATGAAGGATAAAACCCACATTGGTAAAACATTTTGACAACTAGGTTAAAATATAAGCCTAAACAGAGAACAACTTTTCTTGTGCATTCTTATTTTTACCTGAGGCTTTGCGTAGGATGGACTGTCTGACAACATCAGTTCCAAGGAGGTTGGATTGCTTGAAGCGCTTTGCCCTCTCTTCAAAAAACCATTCACCTGTCACTATCCTTAGCTGTCTACATGAGAAAGAAACCAAACAAAATGCACACATGAACTGTTCCAACCAGCCAAAACTGTTTCTTAAATCCTCAGGACGTTGTCCACCCAACATGCACACATACAGCTATGGATCACAGTCACACAGTACAAGCTAAAGAATCAAAAATTAGCTTGCAAAGTGTAATAGAATAGAATAGATTTGGTAGAAAAATTGTGAAAACTCCCTCCTCCCTAAGTGAAAAATGGCTTTTTGGTTAAATGGAAGCTTGCATAAAAATTGATTTTCATCAAAATTTTCATGGTTTCAGGAAAAACTGGAAACCAAAACATTTTTGATCATCAATAGAAGTTAGAAGTTCTTGATTTTGTATTTAGTGTCCAATAAACATTTTCAGTTTTTAATTTACAATGCCTTCCCCTGCCCCAAATGTTTTTTAAGAGATGGGATGAGGGATAGATAGGAGGAGAGGAGAGCAGGGTCAGAAGTGAGGGTGGGGCAGAGAGGAGCAGAAGGCACAGGAAGAGAAGTCTCTACTAGGGCAACCCCCCCCCCACCCCGGACCCTGTTGTCTGCAGAAGCTCTGCTTTGTATTCTGCAGAATTGTGGGAAGGTTTGTACTGAATGAGGCAAGGGACTACAGGAAGAGAAAGAAGGGTCTCGTGATTAAGGCAGCTGAAGGCTGCCCTGGGGAACTGGATTCTATAGCAGCCTCTGCACAGAGTTCCTGTGTGATGCTGGGCAAGTCACTTAAAACAAATTTTTCACAGGTGTTCCTCATTTTCTGGGTAAGCAATATGAGACCCTGGGGTCTGATTTGCAGCAGTGCTGAGCATTCAACTGAAAGAAATGGAAGCAGTGATTCGAACATGTGTAATGTTAAGTACTCTGAAGAATCAAGCCCTCAGGTATCCAAAATTAATTGGATTTCTGAAAATTGAGTCCTGAACATCAATGTGCTTCAGCTCCCCAATTGTAAAATTGAAAAAATAATATCATCTAATCTCACCAGAGCATTGTGTAAGGTAATCTGATGTCTACACCAGCTGCAAATCACAACCCCAACCGCAATATAGACATCACCATACTGGGTGTCCCTTCGTTCCCAGAGGCCCTGTTTAGTCATATGGGAAAAGTAGTTTGGTGGTCCCATTCTAGCTCACATAACCACCAAAACTGAATCAGATATGCGGTTTCTGCTTAGAAGAGGCCCAACACTGACTGGAAGAGCAGCATTTGGCAGGTCCACACTGAGGCGCGCTAGCAAAACTGTACAATGAAGCTTACCCAGCACCTGCTTGCCACATGCTTGGTTACTGACTGCTACCAGCCCTCATTTTTACAAGGAACAAAGTAGATCAAAACATTTTTAAAGTAAAATAAATAAGCTTGATTTAAAAGGCTGTTTTATCTCATAATTGCTTAATACTAATACTACATACTACATACAAAAGTATTTTATTTTTATTTATGGAAACTGGTTGAAGGGGAAGAAGGAGTTACTCTAGGCTGCATCGAATCTTGAGTGTCCACTGGCCTCCATAGCTATTTAAAAACTACTCCAATAGTTTTTCTCAACACCTGTAAACTCACTGAACTCAACCCTAACACTGGGAGGCATTTCCAGTAGTGCATAATCTGGTATTGTAACGAGGAGTGGTCCATCTCCACCCTCAGGTGCCCCAGGAACCTCTCAGACTCTGCCTATTGAGTGGCAACTTTCTGTGATTTATATTCACCAATGCCAATACTGTCCCATGTATATACAGTGCTTCTCTACCTTTAGCCCTTTCCTGCAGGGCTGAGGATGAACAGAGGTCTCCCTTCCTTGAGATCTCCACACATACTGGGATGAGCTAGCCGTGGTCACTCCTCCTCTTCCTCAGTACTTTTCTCCTGTGTCCTCCTTATACGCCTCTGCTGATGGACTACTGGCTCATCCAACCTCCCAGCCTGATCAGCCAATTAGCTAACACATCCCCAATCAGCCTTCGCCGGGGGAGCTGATTGATGCCTAAGTGGTCAGCGTGCCGGGCTCACCAGCTAGCTCCCAGCACTCCATCACGGATTTAAAACCACAAAACAACTGTACACTTGTATGGCTCCACTAGCAACGCCACCTGTACCAAGAAACATCTATGCACTAAAATCACAATTTTCCCTCTTCTGGGCAAGAATTATTCACACACACACACACAAAATACATTTTAAGATTACCGACTTTAACGGTTCCCAAGCTGATCTATGGGCTACATTTCCATCATTCTTAGCTTGTAGCCTGTTAAGAGTATTACATCCTACATCCTTTGGCTGGCAGAATTACTTAGCTTTATAGTTCTCAGGCCCTTATAAGGATTCATCCTTGAAAAGTCAAGAAATGTGGAAATTCAGTCAACATTGGTTGACAAAAGTCCTTAGTACTCTCAATTGTTTGAACACCCACCCCAATGAACTTTTCACATTTTGAATAAAAGTTGATGCCACTCATGCATAAAACATTCTTGTCTGTAAAGCACTCTTCCAGTCTGTTAATAAGCCTCTTTTTGAAATATTTTCAATTGATAGTACCTGTGTAAATTAGCTACATGGCTCAAGTTCATAATAAAGAAGTTTTTTGATAACTACTGATCTGCAGAATGCTGCTTCTCTGAAGCACCTAGAAGGATGTCCAACACGGGTAGTCTATTCAGGCACCAAAGCAGTCCTATTCTGCGCTGTTATTTTCTGTAAGATATGTTATTGATACTAATTGTTGTCTTTGCAAACACAAATACAGTAAATGGTTTTATTATGTTTAAGTGTTGCCACTCCCACTGACATCTCAATGAATACCATCAAGACATGTTTAGCTGCAATGTGCAATCAATGCTCAATTTCAAAGTATACAAGACTAGACAAAAAACACCTTGGGCATGGCTACACTGGAAACTTCAAAGCACTGTCATGGAAGCGCTCCCGTGGCAGCACTTTGAAGTGCGAGTGTGGTTGCGCGCGAGCGCTGGGAGAGAGCTCTCCCAACGCTCCTGGTAGTCCACCTCCACGAGGGGATTAGCTCCAAGCTCTAGATTTTTCAGACCCCTGAGCCAGTAAGTTAGAGCAATATCAAATGTAAGTGTAGCCAAGCCCTTTCTCATGTTATTCCCCATGGAAATACTGCATGGACACATCACCTTTTGCTATAATTTTTGTAACAGTTAAAAGCTTTTGAGTACAGAATTGCACGTTGTATAGAGCTGGTGACTACAAGTATTTCCCATGAATATTCACTCAAAACACTGATTTAGCTCCATTTGTGTTCATGACCAATTTGTGCTTGAATACTACAACTTCCTAACAAACAGGTTTATTCGCCTGTTCATAGAAACAGCAAATATTTTCATTTCCTTTGCTAATTGTTTCTTCTGCTTGTCCTTTTTCTTGGGAAAGAAAGGACAGGATTTCCCAGCAGTGAATCCATGGCAGTGGATGGACATTGTATGACAGAATTTGCCTCTACATTTAAAGAAAGTTTAAGTAACTGTTACTGTTTCAAAATCTTACACGACTCCAGCAGAGTGTGATTTTTCATTACCTGCATTCATTTACAAACACATCAGATAAAGAGAATCATATTTAGTTTGTGTGAGAATGGATACGATTACAGATGATTTTAGGGCATTGATCCGTACTTCTTACTCAGACAAGACTCCAACTTAGAGAGTTTTGCCTGGCTAAAGTCTGAGGAGTACTGAATAGGGCTCTATTGTCAATGAAGAATTCACATGAATGCAATTCTCTCTCATCCAATTATAGATTAAGTTTATGTGAGCACTACCAGAATAAGTTTAAAAAAAAAACAAAATCCAGACATATGCCTGCAAATATGATAATGAAAGATTATTGCCTTATCTTTTTGTTTGCAGCCTGTTGAGGACAATGCAAAAACAATTAATAGAAATCAATTAGTTATTGCCCAAAAGGCATTCAGAAAACCATTTCCACTCCATTTTTTTGTTTCCTTTCTAAGGATGTTCGCTTAAAAACAAAACTTAAAAACAAACCAAAAATTCATTGGAGAACACACAGCTTCTGGTTAGCAGGAAGAACAATTTTCCCCTATGTGTGATAAAAATATATATTGTCACTACTCACCAATAGCATGATCTTCTGTGGGTGCTAATTCTTCATAGTAAGGCTTAACATAAGTTTAGTACTCTACATCTGTCTTACCGTTGACTAAATTGCCATTGCAATTTGAACTTCAAAGTTCATTAACTCTTTCCAAGGTTAGTCCTGAGTTTGACAATGAAACCCCGAAGTGCTGTTTCTCTCTTACTTGCACATCTTAATTTCCCAAGTCTTGTACCACCAACACTTCCCTTGATCCAAGAGAGCTGGTGCACGCCTTCCAAACCACACGCTCATAGATTCATAGACATTAAGGTCAGAAGGGATGACTGTGATAATCCAAACTGACCTCTTGCACATTGCAGCCACAGAACCTCACCCACCCACTCATGTAATAGACCCCTAACCTCTGGCTGAGTAACTCAAGTCCTCAAATCATGATTTAAAGACTTCAAGTTACAGAGAATCCACCATTTACACTAGTTTAAACCTGCAAGTGACCCAGGCCCCATGCTACAGAGGAAGGCAAAACACCCTAGCCCCCACGGTTTTTGTCAATCTGACCTAGGGCAAAATTCCTTCCCAACCCCAAATATGGTGACCAGTTAGACCCAGAGCATGTGGGCAAGACCCAGCAGGCAGTTACCTGAGCAAGAATTATCTGTAGTAACTCAGAGCCCTCCCCTTCTAGTGTCCTGTCTCCAGCCAGTAGGGATTTTTGCTACAGGCAGTTGCTAATGGGCCAAATGCCATTGTAGGCTGTCCTGTCACAGCATCCCCGCCATAAACTTATCAAGCTCAGTCTTGAAGCCACTATTTGGTGAAGAAATCTCTCAGCTATCATATCCAGGAAAATCTGATCCCCAAGTTTATAGATTCATTAAAAATTCTTGCTATTGGACTTGCAATTTC